GCGGCCAGAAGCTCCTCCACTCCCATCATGGCCTGCATGAGATGCTGCAGGTACATGTCTGCCACTTTGGGAGACTCTGTGCCAGTGATGCCGTCATGGTGCTGGACCTAAAACACACACCAGTAAATAACATTTTCTGTTAAAAAAACACATACTAATTCATTTTTCTAATCTTTATCACGTATTTGACTGTGAGCGACAGCTGTCAGTGGCAGAAACAAGCACTTATAGCAAACATAAATTGACGTTGCTTTTAGAAGTTGTTCGGAATAGTCACTCAGACACAAAAACATGGCAACATAGAGTCCAGGTTGAAAAATGCCAAACTTACCCTTTTAAGGAGTCAAATATTTTCGACAGATTACCTCTGAGACAGCCCAGCGAAGCGCCCTCAGTTTGTCCAGGGCCCAGTCTTTCGCCACAGGTCCATCAGGGAAGCTGATTCGGTACCGGGTGAAGAGAGTCTCCGCTGCGTGCAGCTGTGAGCTGGCCCGTCGTGCCACTCCTTTCAGAACATTTCTGGAGGCGTAAAACCCCGTCCACGCCTGGTGTGATTCTAGGGAATAAATCAGTAACAGTAGATGATATCAACAGAAAAATTGTGCTCCTTGCGTTCTGTCATGTGAAGCTGGTGATGCTTCGTATCATGTTTTAGGATAGATTTTCTCACCAGTGGGGGGAGCTGTTGAGCAAGACATGAAGTAAGACGTGTTTCTCAGGGCTGGGAATATTAAGACACTGCAACGGCATCCACTGCATGTAATCCTATTTTGTTTATCTGAATTCATGACAAGGAAGTTATAAACTCTGACGCTGGTTGAGAATCATTGTTATAAATAACGGCATGTCTCCGTAAGTACAAGTGCACCAGCTCCTCCAGCACAAGGCCTGAAGCCTCAGCACAGAGTACTCCAGGTAGACCCATCCAACCCGCTACCAAGGCAAAGTCAGAGGTTACAAACGTGGACCTGGAGGCAATAAAGTCGGACATCCTCTCATCCCTGGGATCCGATATATTGGCGGTGATAAGGCAGGAACTGTAGAATGCCCTAACTGAAGAGTTTGACGCTCTAAAAAGTGAACTGCAATTGGTGAAGGCCGAAATTGTGTACAACGCCGCAGCTGTAGGATCCAAAATCGAGCAAAGGAAGGGGGGCGTGAAGGACATTGAGGGAGGACTCTCAATCTGGTCAGACGAAGTGGTCTCCCTCCAAACTACAGTGAATTATCTCAAAAAAGGTAATGGAGGACCTGAAAGGACAACATAAGGACATGGAAGGACGGATGAGAGGCAGGAATGTGCAACTTGTGGGAGTACCAGAACAACCGGATTCCAGTTCACCCATGGCATTGTCCGAACTGCTAAGAGAGACACTTCAGATGGATGGAGAGGAAAAAGTTGACCACTCACACTGAAGTCTTGTGGCGAGGAAGCCAGGGGATACACCTTGTGCTATCATCGCTAAATTGCACTATGATGGAGGCTGCATGCAGATCTTGGGAAAATCCCAGGACCGAATCCTGCTTACGACGGGAACTCAGTGGCCATTTACCCGAACTACACGTCTACTGTCACCAAGGCAAGAGATTCTCACCAGTGGAATATGGTAGAAAATCCTCACTGCCGCGGAGCTCCCAGACGAGACCTGATTGGTAGATGGCTTTGAAGTATTCACTCAGAGTGGCGTACTGGACTGTCACCCCAAACTCTTTGCTGTTCTGGTTGATGTACGTCATCAGAGGGTCCATGTTGTTGAACTGGACAGATGAGTTGTAGAACTGCTTGTCACAGCCCTGAAACAAGAGGAGAGTGCAGCGGGATTTTAGTGACATGTTCATGTACTAGTTAAGTGCACAGAGACACAAGGGTATGTTGAAGAAAATTAATTCTAATAGCTTTATAAACTGATGCTTAGTTTCCGTTTACTCACCCATGGCCAGAGCACATGTTTCGTCCTGAACCATGCAGCCCTCTGCTTTATGTTCTCCACCATCGTCTTGGCGTAGGCGTGCACCGTCTCCTTGGTGACGGGTAGGCTCATGTTGGGGTAAACTCCGTCTTTCGGGGGATCGGGGAACAAGGCAACTCCATTCCAGTAGAAACCAGAGCTGAGACGTAAGAACAGATTTCCTTTTATGTCTTTTCGATAATTTTATGAGTATGTATAGTATAATTATGGCGAGTAAAGACACTTCTGTCTGTTACCAAGAACGAGTCCAAACATGGAGTACCTGTTGGAGAATGGCAGGTGGGATGGGGTGCAGTAGCTGAACTGGTCCATAGTGTGAGTGAAGATCTGCTGCTTTTCTTTTAGAGAGGGAGAACCTCTCCACACAAACTGTAGTTTCTGTAATAAAGAAAAGATAAACAACCTATTGTGACTATTAGGTGCCATTTTAAAGGAATACAAAACCCCCAAATAAAAATGTGATTAGTTATTTAACCTGTGTTACGTTAAATTCATCAAGAAAACGTTTTTTTGGACGAATGGACGAAGAATCCAAAAATGGAAAAAAATTCTTGATGAATTGAGGTATTAAATTTTTTAACTGATTTTACTTATCTGATAAAAATGTAAGAAAAGCAGTTTAAGAGGTGTGTTCTTTGGGTTTTCAACACTGAAGCTGTGAATTTTAAATAATAATCCCTTCACTGATGGCAGTCGTATTTGGACCGAAGCATCAACTTGTACCTTGTTTTTCTGCATGCTGTCTTTGAGGTCGTAGTCAATGCGGGAGATGAGGTGGGCGTTGAACCCAGCCAGGGCAAAGAGCACCGGCGTGGTCGCAGAGGCTCCGAATGGATCCACGTGCCAGGAGAACTGAGGACGCACCCCGAATGTCTCGTAGAGGAAACCGTGTCCCTCTGAAACAGCACATTGAAAAAAAGTTCATAACATGTCTCCTTCTCTCAAACTGACGTTTACAGAGGGTGGACATGTGTTGGGCTACCTGTCATTTGTAGTATCTCATCGTCTAGATCAGTTACAGCCTCGTCGTGCATCACTTGGCCCCCGATGATGAACTCAAGTCGACCCTCTTTTACAAGATGTCGTACCTGGAGAGCCAACCAAGCATGTTAAATATTCACTGAGTATTTAAAGGGTCACTCCAACAATTTTTTCACTGATTAAACTTTGTTTGAAAGTACGAATCCAGAGTATCCTGTTGAGAGAATTGAGACTATTTCATGTCAGTACAGACAGAGTATTAAGCCATCTTGTTTCCTTACTTGTTTCTTATGTGAGTCCGTGGCCACAGTGTCCCACCACAGCCGAAAGAACTCCTGCTCCACAGCGATGAACCTGCGGTCTCCAACCTTCGACAGCTCCTCAGTCACGCTGGTGTACACATTGGCTGCATAGGCGTGCATACTCTCCTGTGGGAAGATGCACACTCATGAGCAGTGGTGGAAGACGTATCCAGATCCCTGACGTGAGTAAAAGTACGAACACCACACTGTAAAAATACTCCACTACACTTTGTTTCACTGCTGTAGATGTAGAGTGGCTGTCCTGTGATCTTTCTTAAAGAGTCATCTTTTCATGCTGTCAAGAAAACAGTCCTGTTTTTAGCTTTGTGACGATGCATTTTTCAGCTGATCCAACAGGGTTTTTAAAGAGTTTATTTGGCTTAAGAAGCAGGAGAATTTTCCCCACACATAAAGGAACACTTCATCCTTCAGTTTATCACAAACTTTTAACATCAACACATGGTTTTCCCTGGATAAAAAAGGTATAAGAAAATTAATCTTCAGAGTAACGTAGTGGAGTAAAAAGTACAGTATTTGCCTCTGAGATGTCGTAAAGTTGAAATAGAAAGCTGCACAAAATGGAAGCACTCAAGTACCTCGAGTTTGAACTTAAACATACCTATTTAATTAAAAGTATATTCTGCTACTACTCATATATGGGTGATTCTTTATTTTTATCACACTTAACTTGACACCAAAAGGAACAAAGAAAAATGAATGAGTGGCCTTTTATGTGTGGTTTTTGCTATATTTTCTTTGTTGCCGATTTTGTTCATTCAGCCATGCTTAATTTTTTTTTTTTTTGATCCTGTGAAGACCACATTGAGTTGGTGTGTAAAAAAAACTATTAAGTCTGTTTTTTTTAATGCTGTTAATAATTCTTGACAGACATTGCTGCTTCTTATTTGTTTTTATGGACTTTTTAATCACGTTATTGCAGTTGCTATTATATATTTGTGTCCTTCTAGGCCACTGAATGTGAACTCAGCACACTGCTGTAAACAAGCTTAATGCTCAGACAACTTTCCCTGAATTTTATGTTGTGTATTTTGTGCATATTTAATGCTAAATTAGGCGAGACATTAGCAAGGCAACATATGAGACAAAAAATGTGACAAAATGCCATTTCCACAACAGTAATTTCCACAAAGTCAACGATTTTGTAAGATCATAGTCATATATATGATTAACCAGTTATACCAAACAGCTGCTGATGATCATCAGTGTCACATGTAGGTTGAAACAGCTGTGTAGGAGGCTTAAAACTGGGTAAGGAACAGCCAAACTCTGCTTCCAGGGTGAGATTGTGGAAGACAGTTTAGTGTCACAAGGTAGTTATACTGCACAGCAAGGTCTTCACACCTGCCTTAAACTTTTGCACGGTTTGTGAGAGGCTGTGCACTATGTTCTTGTCCGGTTTAACACCTCATACAGAGAATATGGTGACAGAAACCTACCTGAATAGTGTACACCCAGCCAACATCCATGTGACTGTGAGGAATAACAAACGTTTGAATGGTCTCGTTTCCTCCTGCTGAGCAACAGCAGAAAAGAAAAAGCACAAAAACCACTAAAAGTCTCATTTTATATCTCATAAAACGAGACAAACGATCAATAACTTCTCCAGTCTTCACACAGACTTCCTTATTATTGTTGTGCTGCAGCATGTGACTGACGACTCCGCTACGGAAGCCCTGAAGAACCAAACTAGCCACTTTTTAACTAACGCGTGTTTTTCGGTGACCTTTAAACCGGAAACATTAAATGTAAACACTGCGAACACTTGGAGGTGAGGGTGTTTCACCTCATGCAACATTAAAAATGTCTAAAAATAAAAGAATAGCGTTGATATTTGGAGGATTTGTAACGGCCGTTGCCGCCGCGTTTTACCCCATATTCTTCTACCCGCTCGCGCACAAAGATGAGTACAGTAAGTAGCTAACGGCTTTTATTAAACTTTCATTTACACATAAAGACAGTTTAATAATGACATTTAATATGTTTCTGCGTGTAAAGGCTTTAGCACTGTGCTTAATTCTTCGCAGGCAGCTCTACAGCTCAGCTCAATGTTGATTTACCTGGCGAATAATTAGCTTTATCTAGCTAGCGTTAGCTAACTGGCTAATAGGTTGTTTTAGCTAGCATGCTAGTTAGCTAACATGTTTCATGGCACTTTCTCAGTGTTTTCTCATTCATTTCACATATTATATTGGGGGTCTATCTTCCCAAAACACACAACAAATAATAGTAAACGAGAATAAACATAAATTTAATGTTATATAAACTATACAGCTAAATGTAGCTGGAGTTAAAAGTGTTCACTTAAACTTGCAAGCCAGAAATAGGAGTTTCTAACTGCAGTGATGTTTTCTTTCTGTTATTCTCAAACCTTAAACATGTAAGTTAGTTAGCCCAACTAATACTGAAAGACAGAGTGATGCCACAAAAATTCATCCAGCTAAATAGTAGTGGTTTCACTGTGTTTTAAACAGCTATTTATTGGCAGTGGTGGAAAGTAACTAAGTAATCTCCAGGGGAAAATTGGCATACGTTACAGTTGCTGTTGTAAGTAAGCACAATAAACATGTAAGATCATAGAAAATAAGATAAATGCAACTGTCAAACCTGCAGCCAAACCTTGCTGTGGTGTTTCACAGTGACCTCTCCTCTGAAAAACAAATTACAAGCATTGTCCAGTCCTCTTTCTGTCAGATCCTTTCTCTCTCAGCACGATCTTGAGAAGGTCATCCATGCTTTAATTTCTTCATGGTTAAATTACTGCAGCTCACTGTATTCAGCGTTGAGCCAGAAAGACATCTCACGGCTTCAGCTAGTGCAAAACGCAGCTGCTCGGCTTTTAACAAACATTAGAAAACATGACCATAAGTGATTTTATTGTCTTCCACCACTACTTATTGGACAGTCTTTATAGTTGTGGCCAGCTCAGATGGAAAGCTGTAGTCAGGATATACAGCAGATCGTGGATAAACGTCTTCCAGTGTTACTGACAGCTCCGCAGACACAGGAGAGAGACAAAGCTGCAGTGTGAAACTCTTGTTCCTGACATTGATGTTGACCACCACAATCTTCTTCTGAGAATACTGTACTTTTCTCTCTTTGCTAGGAAGTGTCCAAAAGTCAAACCGGGCAGGAGTCAACCAGGCGGATGTTCAACCTGTCGGTAAGAGCACAGAGTAGAGTTATGTCTGAACAGGTGTATTATACCTGCTGAAGGTTGTGTAGACTGAAATGTTGTAGATGAATGTACCAATAGTGAGCAAGACAGTGTGCTGGGGTTATCATCCTTTTTTGTTTTTGCAATCAGTCAGAAGATATTGGACTTTAATGGGATTTTATGTATTTTGCAAAGACTTCTCATGCATACGTCTGTCATACACACATGGACCGGCTCAACACAGTTCTGTTTCCTTTATATTTTTTGTCTATCATAGTTAGAAAAAACAACAACATTTTTTAGTCTTGGCTCGTGCAAATATTTAAGTTCATGAAGTCTATGGCGTTTTGGAGCAGACAAGAGTTTTAATTCTTCATGTATCTGAGCCACCAACCAGCACTAATTTCAGTGACAAATCCTAATTTATGAAGCAGTTATCTTCTTATTTCCATGGTCTCCTCCCACTAAAAATAGCACAGCTAACCAACAGAGGGTGGTCACGAGTTGAGATGACAAAATTGAAAAGTTTTTACACAAATACAGACGCCGAATTGGCAAAAATACTGTCAACATATGACGCCTCTTGTCTTGTTTTTCTTATGTGAGTTATGTGTTTTTATAGACACGTAAGGAATTAATAATACGTCGTATTTCTTGATGGTAGTTTGCTGTAATATATACACCAGGAGAAGGAGGATGAATAATCTTAAAGGGAATCTAGCTGTGGTCTTAAAGATAGTGATTCAGTCTTTGCAAAGTATTATCATGTGTAACTTCAAAGCGCACATTGTCTTTAGATGTGAGAGGTGTCAGTGGTGTAATGTTGCTGCTACACACATGTTCACACTGTTTATTTTGTTAATCTGCAGGTGTGAAGATATGGTCAGATCCATTCAAGCCTGCAGGCAAATGACAACCAGCGACTGCTCCACTGATCCCACTGACACTGATGAGGACTTCTATCAGAGAGCGCCTGTTTGATGAGTGCTTGGTGTGCGCGTGAGTGAATGTTTTCCAGAGTGTGTTTGTTTTTTTGGTCGTTAAGTGTTTCCTTAAATCTTAAAAATAAAGTGTAAAGCTCATTCATCTAAAAAAAATATCTAAATGACTTGTTAATATCAGTTTTGCTTTGATGGGTATGGTGATGTGAAACAAAGTAATCTACACAGAGGGTGACAGACATGAGACAAGTAGCATCATGTTTACTTTCTACTACAATTCACTTATCTTATAAATCAGGGGTCTTTAATATTTTTTAGCTGAAAGAGAGACGGAGCAGGGACCCCTCACTATGTAGATTATATGATATTATCAGCTAATATGATTGCACAAGGAATCATGGGTAACAATTAGCATGAATCTTTGCTTATAATATCTTGGATCCATGTTAATGTGTCTTTCAGTCAGTCAATGTTCCTGCAGTAACTCTGAGGACCCTCTAGGGGTCGCTGACCCCCTGTTGAAGACCCAGGTTTTAAACGTCCAAGATGAAGTGTCTGCAGGTCCTTAAAAAGTGTCACAATGTCCTCAGTTTTATAAATATTAGGCTTTAAAAGACATTCAATTGTGGTACATTTGAATTTGTGAGGTCTTAATTGCCACAAACATTTTATTTAATTTCATTTATCACCCATTCTTTCATGTCCTGCTGAGAAAAACCTTCAAAATTGTAACTTATCAACACACTAAAAAACTGTTTTTGGGTGTGAAACATTATTTTTAAAGGATTTATTTACATGAAATAAATGTGATTTCTAAAATATTTTTGATCTGCTTTTGTTATTTTAAACTTCAAACTTGCACTGTGATAGAAAATAGCCTGGTCCAGACAAGAGTTCACACTTTCAAACAATAAAAAAAAATGTGTTAAAAAGCTTCAAAATCTAACACTAACAGTATATTCTGATGAGGCCAGTGTAAAAATGTACTGCTGTAGACATCTTTGTTAAAAAAATATTTTTTTGTGTGAAACTTTTAGCCCTTTGAAGATGTGTCCCTGATATTTTTAAACTCTACGATAACCTTATTTTATCAGGCATATAAGGTGTTCGCTACATCCTAGAGACTCCTATCTCACTTCCTGGTTTCCAAAAAGGTGTAAATGCTGCTCAAGTACTGGTAAGCTTTCTATTTTTTAATAAATTCATTAAATAATATTGATATTGGGTGTGTCTCCTTAACATGACATGTCGATTTTACAGCCCCTCTAAATCAAAACTAAAGACAAATTTTGGTTTGAAAATGAATATTTTGATGAGCATTAAGAGAACTTTTCGCAGGTATGAAAAATAAATGGGCTCCTCACTACAACTGCAGTGAAATGAATAAATATATCTAATTTTTTGTCAATTCTGTGAGACGTCACCTCCGTCAGATCGTACCTTTGACATCCATAATGTATGGTATTTAAGAAGAAATTAAATCTTGGGGAGGTTGGCCAGTTAAAATGTTTAATAGTCCAGACTTTGATCTTTTAAAACTTATTTTCCCACCCTAATTGAAGAATAAACCCCCCAAAAACCCCCAAAGTTAGGTTGATTGCAAATAAGCAGATACACCACACACAAGAGGACTGAATTGCTTCTTGGATTTAATAATCGCAATATCCACACCCCACAACAGACAGTTTAATTCAATGATATCTCTCTACATCAAGGGGAAGGTAGTGCGAGGGGAGAAGGGAGTGTCCTGCCTCAATCTGGTCTAATTGTCTGTAAATAGAAAAAAAGCATGCATTAAATCAAGTATCAAGATACAGTTTTATAAGTAGAGAAATCAAGCATTAACCCAGCAATCATAAATACAATAAATAAACGTAAATAGTCCCCAAAAATAAGGTTTTGTCACAGTTCTCAAGAAAGAGATTTATCCATCTTATCAATTTTTTTTTTTTTTTTTTTTTGTCAAAATGAGTCAAGCTCTTCTGTGTTTAAGTCCACATTTCTGATGTTACAAATTGTTAAACTTGCACTTACCTTTTGGTTTAATGTAGCTTTAACACAACTCAGTCTAATAACCATATTCCTACATAAAACCTGCCTCCACAGACTTCTCTTTATAATTAACTGCAACGCTTCACTATGAAAGAGATGAGTTATCCAAAAATAAGTCTTGAATTCGGTTTAAAATGATCTTGAAAAGGTTAAATAAACGCATTAAATTTAAGTGTCTGATACTTGTAAACCAGGTGTGCCTTGGGATTTTGTGATTACCACACATTATTATTGCAATATTCAACTGGGCCTATACCAAAAGTTATGAATTAATTTTTAATTGACTGTATCAGTATGTTGTGCACACCCATTTCCTAATAAAGAGGCAAACTCTACCTAAAAAACTAATTTAATTTAATGTAATTTAAAAAAAAACCTTTCTGTTGCTGTTAGCGCATGGGAATTATAGGTGTGTGACACATCACATTATCTTACATTATTTCCCGTTTAAATGGATGTGATATCAGTGCTTTGATGTGATTTTAAAAGTTTAAAATTAATTCTTGAATCACTTTGTTAAGTATTTCATGATTAAAAGTTGGTTGTCAGTTATTATTTGTATATTGGTTTATTATTAGTACATAAAAACAAACATTTATGACATAATAAGAGTAGACACTCTGGACCCTGGATGAGCTGGTGCTAGTTCTCTTTTGTCCACTAGGGGGAGCTCCTACCTTATCTGTGGCCACAAAAGGCTCTGGACTGTGAAATGTTTTGTTTGTGCATCTTAGATATTTTGGAAAAACTTTCTTATTTCCAAAATCCTTGCCTTGGTATGCAGCCTGCAGGAAATTATAATAAAATACAGTGGTTTGTTTACCCATCCTATTCACAAGAATCTCTTTTGACATTTTATTTTGATTTAGTTGATATAAGAGTCATAAAAACGGTTCAGCAGATGAGGGATAATGTCCAGTAATGTGCAGTATCATCTTCCAAAATGGAAATAGTAGAGACAGAGTTATTCCAGGACACATCACTCTGCATTATCATTTCTCTGTCACGGAGAGACACAGGGTTTAACTGTTGCCCCGCTGTGTAAAGTGGCATGTGACTCCGGCTGTGTTTTGCCCATAGGCTGAAAAAGACAGGGGCAGAGCTCCGTGGTCGTCTTGTTCAGAATCGTACTCGATGTGATCCAGACTCCCTTTACGAGTCCATGGGTGCTGTAAAAGCAGAGAGCTCCAATTTTTTTTCCCCTGTACTTTTGTGGTTTCCTGACATTGACCAGCATCCCCTTTCAGAGCTTGGTCCATCAAAGTCCTCTTGGAGGAAAGATAGATTAAGAAAGAACTAAAGCATGTGTTTATGGTCCTTCAGAGATGGTGCATTTTTAAAGTTGCCCTTAAATCTTTCACAGTCCCCGATGCAGCCTGTACTTTCGGACATTCGTGAGGCCCACTGCCAGCGAAACCGACTGCATGGGCCAGCAGCGGCCACTTTCCTTCTCAAACCCCCCAATCAACAAGCCCCATTGTTTATGAGAGGTTGTTATTGTTGGGCTGCATTCAGAAACAAGAGAAAACTCAAGAGCCCGGCTGTGCAGAGGCGTCCAAAGTAAAGAGAGCAAGGGGTGAGGGGGTGGTTAAGGGAAAACGAAAAGCAGAAATTCCTCTCATTCCCCGCTGGTGTTTTCCAGATTCCTCAAGCGACAGCTCCTCGGCTGTGTGAGTGAAGTAAGCAACCAGAGGGGAAATTGAAGCGAACGGCGAGAGGAAGAGAACTGCATTCTTGAGGGGACGCGTCACCTACACACAGAATAGAGAGACACTCAATCTCTGTTGCTTCGCCTGGCAAAGTACGTAACAGGTTGTGCAGCACGGCCTTCGGCTTTCTCATCCCGCCTGGCTGTGAATCAGTGAATCACTGTGACATTTCATTCTGAGCTCGCTCCGTACGCCTGTCCTTTCAGCAGCAGGCCTTAAAGTCTGCACCAGGCTTTTATGGCTCAGTTGTCGGGCCCTCTTTCTGCGGCCCTTGTCCCATTCAGCTGGCTATGTAGATAGACACCCATCACTATAAAACATTCAATAGGGTCAGAGCGCGCTATAAACCAACATGAACTCAACAATGTCGCCTCCGCAGCACTTTTACTATCCCACTATTAACCCATCACACAAATCTCCCCCAGCCATTGAGGTGGGTCCCAGAGAGTGGTGGCACATCGTCGCTCCGAGCAGTTTGTTAGGTGTGTGTTCAAGAGCGGCACATAATTGGCCAAGGTTTCTAACTAATTGCCATGGGAACAAGGGTTGACAGACAGGCCACGGGGGTTGGAGTAACAGCGGAGAGCGTACGGGAAGGGGTGGGATGTGAATTACGAGCAGCAGAGCAAACGCCTCGCTCCAGTCAAGTGTGGAAAATAGAAACAGAAAATAACAAGTGAACAAAAACAAGAACTCCGGAGCGTTCTAAAGAGCCTCTTGATGACACGCTCTGTAATTGAAGACAGAGAACTGTGGCATTCATTTCTATTTGAAGTGAGGGAGGACTTCTTGTTCCTTTTTAGGTTTATTTGCAAATACAGAATTAATTAATGAGGTGTACGCTCACATGTTAACATCAAAGTAAGTGGATTCATAACTCCAATGCAGTTTTATGGATCAACATTTAGTTACTTATTGCCCTCTTAAAGAAAAAAGGCAGTAATCTGTAGATTTATTTATATAGTGTACTGTATATCAGATGATTCAAAGCTATTAAAGTCAACATAAATATAAAATACAGTCCATAAAGAGGCCATTTATAGCTCAAAAAAGGTCCCACATCAATATGTCCACATTATAAGAACCAGCAAATATGAAAGAGACAGTCATGCAAAAGAATTCAGAGCTTCAGTCTAAATGTTTGTAATTTTTAGTACCATATAACATATAAAATAATGGATGTAGCTATGGTGATGTCACCCACTGGTTTGTGGACTCCCATTTTGAAGCTTGAAGTTTGGTATTTTTTCCATCTCGGATTTTTTGGAGCTAGAATTGACCCAAAGTGACCACATCTGGACTGACGCATAGACTGTGGTGATGCCTCGCAGACAGCCTGTAACTCAAAGCGGCCACACCCTTAATTATGCGTAACTTTAAGCCGTAATAACATTTAAAATGGTGAGTTAAATAAAAGTTCAACCCCCCGTACAGCTGTTGAGACCAAACTGTTTTGTACCAGGCTGTAAACTTGTTTATTTCTGCTGTAAAGTTGGGCATTTTTAACATGAAAATCTATGGGGATTGACTCACTTCTGGAGTCAGCCTCAAGTGGCCATTAGAGGAACTGCAGTTTTTGGCACTCGCTTGTTGGCTTTATTTTTCAGCTTGTTTCATAATAAAAAGCATCTGTCCTGAAAATGGTTTGCGTAGGTTGCGCAATCATTGCAAGAAAAACAATATGGGCAGCCGACCACATGACCTGAGAAATTTTCTTATCTAAACTAACTATTAGCTGATGTTGGAGTGAATTTCTTTGCTATGGCAGGACCTGCACATCAATTAAGAGGCCAGAAAATAAAGGAAAAGGAAAATAGGGAGCTAGAAAGGGCTTTTAACCCAATAATGATTTAACGATCAACTTCAGTCAGCTCAGGAAGTCAGGCTGAAGAGACGAAACATAGCCACGAAGTTAACGTTACAAGCCAAGAAGTAGCTAGTGCCATGTTTATGTTAGGGTGCTTTCAGACCAAGAGTTGTCTTGCTTTGGTCCAAATCAGGAACTAATTTTGTTACAAAGAGTTGGTTCGTGTTCTCACGGCAGCATTTACAAGCGGACCAG